CTAGTAGTCGACCGATATATCGCCAAGGCCGATATATCGGCCGATATTTGGCATTTTTCAAATATCGGCATCGGCTGCTAAGTTTTTTTGTTTGGCCGATGCGTTCGAGTCGGGACTTTTATTTTGACGGCGCGCCAGACTTTTATTTTGATGGCGCTGAGAGCGGCAGCGCCTGAGCACACAGTGCTCACATTCTCCCTCTTGTTCGCTGTCGTCGTCAACAGTTCTGTCTAAATACGGATAGAAGTCTAATAATGTCTAATAATCAGAACTGTTAAACAAAGGAATTAAAATGTATACACTGTCATATTCATGTCATTTTCACTGTGTGCTTTTTGTGAAATGAGTGTTACCTTGGCTTTATTTGAAAAAATATGATTCCAAATGCACACAAACTTCCCAGAATACTGAGTGCTGTTGGTTACAGTTTACTTCCTTTTTAATTATATTTTTATTAAATATTTATTTGTGAAAAATACTTTGTCATGTAAAGTAGCCTATAAGTATGTTTATTTTACAAATTTATTTTTTTATCCATTTTCAAATGATTTCAAATTTCTTAAATATTAATTAAAATAAATACAATTATTGTATGCTATATGGGGGTTATTTCATGTGTTATATTTGCAGCAGCAATATATCTTGCATGCTCACAGCAGGATGTTGTGGATGTATTGGCTGTAGCAAGTCTCGGTACTTGTTCTGCCGCAGCAGCAGCATAGCAGATCTATTCCGCCAAGACCAAATACATTAACATTGTCATGTACATTACCATGCCAATCCCTCCGAGAGTTGTCATGACAGAAATACATTTGAACCTAAAATACTCTTGGGGAAAAAAACACTATGTTTTCATTGTCCTAGCGACAGAATACCAGATAAACCTGGGCCACTGACATCTGTCATGGTTGATCTGATCACAGGTAGTTGGCTGAGACACATTACTGTTTACACTTGGCATTGACATCTCAGATGTGTCTCCTGTGGCCACTTGATCAGATTTTGTTGAGAGGAGAGCCTCTGTATTCATAGCTGCATACATCACTTACTATATCAGTTTGTTGCAGCATAGAAAAGACAGAAAGTTGACACAATATTAATAGTATAAGTAATAATAAATTACTATTAGTAATTTAATAGTAGCATTAATAACA